AAAGTTACACCGGTGTCGTTTGAACTCTCCTCTATCTATATATATATATATATATATATTTTGCTGGTGTAAAAAACTTACACCTTTGTTCAATACATTATTATTAACTAGATTTGTTATCCGCAATATGATTGCATCATTTTATAATTAATGTAATATCATATTTAACCTTTTCTCATCATGATATTTATTTGATAGAGTGAATAATTTTAAATATATTATTTTTCTTAATTAATAAAAATATGTATTATTTTTTATATTTTATGATTTAATAAAATTATACTTAAATTATGATATGTAGTTTAAAAAATTAATTTCATTTAATTAAATAATTTGTTTCAAAAGTGAAATATATTCATTTAATAATAACATCATAACTCAATTTATTATAATAAAATTTTGTAAAATATCATGTTAATTATAGAAATGGTGAGAACATCCAATATTTTTTATGGAACAAAAATATTAGTCAATCTTGATTTAGTTTTCATCAAATAATATATATATATATATATATATATAAAGAAAAAAAATTAAAGTCAAATTTATATAAAAATTAACGTTTGTCTATAATTATTAATTAATATAATTATATTTTTTCATGATTAATATTTTATTATACCTTTACATCCTATATTAATATTAATAAGCCACAAATATTTACACATTCAATTTTTACATAATTAGTAAGTAATATAATTAATATTTTGTTATTTTTTTTATATTAATATTAATATGACTTATAAATATAATAAAATAAATAAATAAATAAATGATAAATTTTATTAAATTAATTTAGTACATTGAGAATAAAATATTATATATATATATATGTTAAATAAACAAATTTTTGGATAGTTGAAAATTTTGTTAAGTGAACTTTTTCTTAGTTTTTTTTTATATAAGATAAATAAGAAATATAATAATTTGTTTTTATAAACACTACAGACTTATCGAGTCAATCATTATTAGAGAAAAAGATATTAAATAATTAGATATTAGTAATCTAGCTTATTGAACTATTGTTTAGTAAAATCATTTATCAAAGTAGAATGTAAAATGACATAAATAAACATTAATAAACATTTTTACATAGTATTTTTTATTTAAATTTTAATTTAATTTTAGTGATAAAAATATATCTTGGAGCATTTATAGTTTTAAACTTTTAATTAATTCAAAATTGTGCTTTTTTATTTATAGATTAATTATGTTGATTACATTTTTGTAGTTTCAATTATTACATTTTTCATTTGTGTATTATATTATAAATCTTATAGACTTATATAATATCATATAATATTTGTTATTATTTCTGGCGGTGGATAGTTAATACTAATATAATTGTTTTCTAAAATATCATATAATATTTCCAGTTTAAAATGAAATAAAAACACTTACAGCAAAGTAGGCGTCATGACATATTACCGTGTATGGTATTGGCGAATAAAAATTTATTATTTTTCCATAAGGAGCTTGTATGTTTGATTTGTAATTATCGTGATTCAATTTAATTAAAAAAATAAGAAGATTGAATTTATTTGAGAATGAATTAGAGATTAACTAAAAATAAATATTTAAATTAAGATAAAGAAAATATTTTAATTGGTAAAATTAACGATAAAAAAAATTCAAGATTAGGTTTCACGTTGTCACTTTCTATTGACTTATATTCTGATTATCCTAAGATATTTTTTTTGTTCTATTTCATGATATAAAGATATATTTATTTCAATTCTCTTTTTATTTTTGTGTGATATCTATATTTAATTAGACTTATTATGTTCTTTATTAATTCGTTTTATTTTCGAAAGATTAAATGTACTTTTATGATTTAAAACTGAAATTATTTCCTATGAGTTTAACATTTTAAGTTTATCTCTTAATTTTTCCACAAGTGTATAAGATTATGAAAAGTGAAGATTAATCATTTCACATAGAAAAATTTAAAGAAAGAATTAAGAGGAGAAATCCAAAAAACATAAAAACACTTCAATTAACATCATTAATTTTCAAGGGCTAGACCCAGATCCTAGAGCAACTACTAACACTTAGTTATGAAAAATAAACTAGAAAAAAGAAAAGAACATCAAAATGAACCCTAAATCTTAAACTAAAAGTAAAGGTTGATATCTCTTTTCCTAACCATAAAGGATTTATTTATAATTAGGATACAAACATGGTCTAAGCCCAATTAAAATAAATAGAAAAATCAATTAAAAATCGTCGTTGATACACCACGTTCAAGGCAGATGGCACACGTAAGGTGTGTCACTTGCTATGGGTATTTTTTCCAAGTTTTCCTTGATGTGCCCCACTTGTGGAAGATACCATGCTTAGGGTGTGAAACTTGTTACTACTTTTCTAAGTCTTCCTAGATGTGCTACACCTATGATAGACACCAACCTCTTTGCTTCCATTTTTCTTCATGGTTGCGGTCCACTCCATACCCTAAGTGTGGGCATCTCCACAATAGCTAAGTTCCAACTTGCTTCTAATGTTCTCAAACTTCTCTTCCATAGATCAAGTTTTTCAATCTTTAAACTCAAATCCATTATAAACTGCTTCTAAAATTTACTTCACTGAAAAAAATAAAAAATAAAAGAAGCATAACAAGTCCTAAAAGAGAAAATAATAAATTATTAATAAGCCTAGATTAATGAGAAATACATGTCAATACTACACAAAATACTTAGTAAAACATGATGTGAAATAGAATGTATTAAAATGTCATATTTTTATTAGGTTAAGTGTCAATATTTTTAAAATGGGATTAGTCATTAAATTTATTTAAATACTGATTCAAGATTCAATAATTCAATTATGATTAAATCGGTATTAATAAAATAATAATAATTATTATTATTAGTACAAAATTAATATTAAATAAATATAATATTACAATTTTATAATACTAAAAATTAAGATAAAAACTTTATTTATAGATTTTTAACATTTAATATATATGTAAGATTCTAAATTATATATAATATAATATTTAAATTTAAATTTTAATAAAATATAATAATATCGGTTAATAATTAATATCAAGTTTATATTGCATCTAGAATAAAAAAATATCAAATTAATATAATATAAACTATTAAAAAATAAAGATATTAAACATTGCAAATTAACATAAATGATTAAATTATACTTATGAAACAAGTATTAAAAATAAATTATTCTAATTTATAATTTTTTTTATTAAGTATTACTTTTATTAAAAATATTTTAAATTAAAAATTAAAATTTTAAAAAGTAACTTTTTTAATTCGATTGATTTTATCGGTACTATCGATTTTTCATCGATTTGATGCAAAATAGTTTTCTAAGCTAACCAAACCAATTAAAGAGTGATTTTAACAGTTGGACCTATCAATTTAGTTCAATTTTTAAAATGATGTTAATTACTGCAATGATTAAAATAATTAGTACAATATATGAAAAAAAGTTCAAAAAATAATAATAAAATAAAATAAACCTTTCATGAATCAAATTAATATTTTGATGTATAATGTTGAAATAATAAAATAAATATTTAAAATAATATAATGATTAAAATAAATGGTGTCACAAATTTAGTTAAGATTTCATGCATACTCTACTGAACTCCCTAAGCCGAAGGAAGTTGATTAATTTAGTCAATAACATTAAATTTATTCTAAATTTATATTTTTTTTCTTTCAAAATTATCCTTAATGAGACCCTTACTCATTTTAGATGGTAATGCAAGTAAAATCGGTTATAAAATCAACATCACACTCACAGAAGTAGCTAATTATCACATGAGAAAAAGTTCTAGAACTTAATTAACGTATTGAAAATAGATAATCAAAATTGACAAATTTGAATACTATAGGAACCAAAAATAGAAATGTGCAATTATCAGCATGGATAAAATTGATTTTCCCTCCAAATATCCAAACATAATACACTTCACATCAGATCAATTTAACTAAAATCAAGTTTAGGAACATTTCCTTTTTTTTTTTTTTTTTGTTATCATTCTTTTTAAAGTTTCCGTGCAGCCTCTCCAAGTGAATTGATTGTTAGTTTTTTAAAGTAAAAATTTAAGGGGAGTTGGATTCTGAAAATTCATAAAAGTTTGAAAAGACTTTTAAGCTTCAAAGAATACTTATAGAGATATTTAAGTATTATTTACTAATAAAGTTTCATATCAACGGCAGAAACTGAACTTACATTCATGTAAGATATGAACATATAAATTTTTTTGCAAAGGCTCAGACTGGTTGGTGAAAAAAATGCGAAAACTCTTTGATCTCTTGAAAAAAAAAATTAATCTCATAAGATTACAAATGTGAAAAAATAATATTTTAATATTTTTCATTCATTTAAAAATATGGTCTATTAACAAATTATTAGTCCATAAAAAGATGAATTGTATACATGACACATATCCAAATTATTCCCTAAAAAATTACACTTGAAGGATGAAATCTTGAAAGTGTTTCACCTTTTATCATCCTAAGAGATTAAATGATTTTTTAAGATTAAAATGTTTCACATTATTTTAGGAATAGATTTAAGTATTTATTTTTGGACGAGAGAAATTATTAGATAGTTGAGTATGGTTAAGTATTTATGATTTCAGCTAATCATTATTTAACATTAAGTTTTTAAAGTGATGAAAAAAATTAATTACACTTTATTCTATATTATATAAGGATTAGTTAGGAGTTATATAATTGAAGACAACCTAATTATATAAAAGTGGGATTTGACTAAGCATGGTCCCTAGTCCCTAGTGTGTGTTGTGTCGTCATGTGTCCGTTTATTGGACTTGCATACTCGTTGTCTGTTTTCAAATCAGAAAGGCCCAAATCAAAAGCCCAGGCCCAATGGAGCCAGTTACACGCAACGTCATTATCGTAGAAAAAGTCATTAAAAAAGCGTGTAATAACAGAACCCCACCGGCCACCACGTGTTCGATCTTATCCTTTTCCTCTCTGATCTCTCCACACGCTATAAAACCTCTCCTGTTACCGCTTTCAACCCTAAACCGTTACTCAAACTGTTACCAAACCCAAACAACTAATTCTCCAAATGGCCGCCACTTCGTTATCCATCCCACTCGCCGGAGTCCAAGCATGCGCTACCTCGGGCCGCCGGAGAACCTCCTCCGCCAACTGGTGGACGCCGCTGTTCGGTTGGTCCTCCGAACCGGACTACATTGACTCCAACAACAACAACAACAAGCCGGCGAAGCTGGAAGCCGTTCCGGCGGCGAGAGAGTCGAAAACGGCGAGACCGCGCTTCGCCGGTGGCTTCACGGAGGAGAAGGCGAGGCAGTTCCGGAAGATGACCGTTGGCACCGATTCCTTTCACGACACCATGTATCACTCCGCAATCGCTTCTCGACTGGCCTCAGACTTCGAAGCTCGCTCCGATTCCGATTTGTAATTTCTCCGGCACCGAATAGCTTACTATTCCTTCTTTCGTGTATTGTATAGCTGATTGTTTGTGGCCGAATTTTAGGGTTTCAAATGTAACCATGGATGCAAATTGCAAAGTGATATATAAATAATGATTTAGTGTTTACAATGGATACAAGGATTTAGGAATTAGGATTGACGATTGATGAATGATGACTCTGTTGCTTCGAATTCAATTTGATTGATATGGCTTTCCTTTTACTTGCATTAATGCATTAATTGGTTGAAGGAGCGTTTTTCTGTGGGTCCCACTCCCATCCTCATTCTCCGTAATTATCCGTTGGATGAATATTTATGTTGTAAATCAAAATAAAAAAAGATATATTCAAAATTGGAAGAGTTAAATGTTGAGACAAGTGAGTGGAATCTTTGAGGATATGCTGCCTTAAGCATTAGGTTAGGGAATATGCTGAAGCTCTCTGCCTAAGTCTCTGTCTACTAACTTAGTGATTGATGTGTATAAAGCAAATTAATCTTGTCTGGAGTTTACTGTAGCTGCAAATTGGGCTGCCGAATCTTAAAGAATATGTCACCAGACTCAATTTCTTACTTATTTTCTGACTTAAGATAAGTCAAATCGATTTCTTTTATTATTTTTTTACAGTGTTTGTTAGAAGAAAAATTAAGTTTTTAAGTGAATGTTATGTTAATTTTTTAATATATCAATTTAGTTAATGTTAGAAAATTTATTCATTATGAAAAAAAAGTATTTTAATTTTTTTAAAAAACAAATAATTAGATATCCGATGATCTAAACTGAATCAATTTGATGCACATCATACTAGTTCAATCGGACCATTTTTACACCCCTTAGCCTTCACCACTTTCATTTGTAAGACAAAAAATGAGGAGAAAATGTGTTCCTTTTATACTCACAAGCTCAATCTAGTTTACTCACCATCGAGCATGGGTTCCTCAATTTTTTTTTTAGTTTTGTACCAGTAGAGCCACTCAGTAATCAAAGAGAAAACTATTCATATGCGCTTGCATTTTGTAGAAATCTTGAATTATTTTTTTTTTTGCTAACGATATTAAACTAGGCTGTAATATACGCAACAGGTCAATTATTTTGGGAAAAGCAAGGGGGCATTTATGTTGATATTCGGTTTGAAACTTCTGATCCAGTTGCCGAGCAAAAATTGTTGAATACGAGAGAAAAAACAAACAAAAGAAACAAGTGGAGAAAGCTATAGACAAGCAAAGTGTCACGATGACAACGTGAATTAGAATCAGACAAGACAATAGAAAAAGCACGGACCAATGTGGGACAAAAACTTCGTCTAAGACGCGTAAGAGAAAATATGTGTTTTTGGTTTATGTATCACAGCAAATTTGGGGCTGTTTCTGCCGACAAACTATGGGGCCACTATACGCAGAACAAACCATGCCAAGTGGTCCAAGAGTCGAACATACAAATATTTCACAGGCCCAAAAAGCTAATGCTCGATGTATGATCCATATAGCGAAAAATAAAAGGAAGGCCCAGCAAGTCAACAACCACTTTGTGTTATGTTTTGGATGAAGTTTAGAATGAACAAAATATTATGACCTCTTTGGGATAATTACAGGTTTTCAACTTTTGTTTTTAAATGCAAATTTTAAAATAAATACGTTCATTTAAAATGGATTTCAATTAATTTTAACTATTTGAAGTGCTTTTACCTCAATTTTAAAACTAACAAGCACTATTTTTTTTTTCATTTGTAAGTTTTAGTTAAAAACAAAATTCATTCCCCTCTATTATTTATTCTAAAAGACACATAACTATCCTAATCAATATACTACCATCACCAATTAAATGACATTGGTGTCAGCCACCACCATAGTCAATGAGCATCATAGCCACTGCCACTGTAACGCAGAGTGAGCAAACTAAATGGAACTTATAAAAACGATATTAAACTGAGGAAAAAAGTTTGAATGCAACTGTAATTCGAACAAACGAAACTGTTTTGGCCTGTTGGTTGTTAAGACAGGTCAAATTAGTCCATTTTTTTAGGCAATACACTTAATTTAGTCCCTTATAATTAATAGTTTCAATTTCGTCCCTCAATAATTTTTTGTTTCAACTCAGTCCCCAATAATTTAAAAAATGTCAATGTGTTTCACAAACGGTATTAAATGTGATGACGTGGATGCCACATAGATGCATAGGTGACATACCTCCTCTCCTCCTTCTTTAATGATCTGGTTTTAGAACGGGCCGTTCCAGATTCAAAAAAAACACACAAAGAATGCAAGCGAAACGGGCCGTTCTTGTTTCAGAACAGGTCGTTCCAGATCCAAGGATTGTTCTTGAATATCTTAGTTCTCTCCATATTAAAATTTTAACCGGGGTAAATTGTGAATCAGGATTGATTTTCTTTAAACTTTTTAATATAGAGTATCGTCTCAATTTAGAGGAATTTAATGGTATCTTTGGATTTCAAACTATAAGGGGAAAAAATCCAAGATCATTTAATTCATACATGTTTTGTGGGTTGTAACAGGTCATACACAATAAGAGGCTGGTTAATGCAATTCATCTACATTCGTCATGCTATCATTAAAATTATGCATAAGTTTATTGCATCTACTATTCTAGGTTGTGGCGGCTCAGATGATAAACTACACCTAATTAATTTATTATTTATACAGGTAATGATGAAAAATAAGAATGAAAAGATCAACTTCGATGCATATTTTAATATTTGAATTTATGTTATGTTATAAATTTTTATTTTCAATCTTTAAACCACGTTGTTACATTTTGTTGAAATATAACACTTAAATTTAAACATCAATCCTGGTTGGTGTTCCAGAACGACCCATGTTGAATCCAGAACAAGTCGTTCTGAACGGACCGTTCTAATTCACTCGTGTGTTATATTTGCATCTGGAACGGACCGTTTTAATTATAAAATTAATACACAACAAGTGGGATCAGAACGGGCCGTTCCAGGTTCATTAAAAAAGGACTATAGAAACTTGCCACGTATGTATCTATGTAGCATCAATGTCATCTACATTTGACACTGTTTGTAAAATTTGGACGGAAAGTCCCACATTGACATTTTTTAAATTATTGGAGACCAAATTGAAACAAAAAATTATAGAAGTACAAAATTGAAACTATTAATTATTATAAGGGATTAAATTATGTGTTTTGGCTATTTTTTATTTTTATTTAAATTTTACAAAGAATATATATATATCTCCCAAATATATATATATATATATATATATATATAGGGCTAAATAGGCTTTGAACATGGAAATTAATGGCCTGACCTAGACTGGTTAGCTTGCCAAGCCCAGTCAAATTAACCCAATTTTTCTTTCAGGACACTTTTTGAAGCCCAGGTCGTCGAGCCATCAAGTCTGACCATTTTATACAATACACCTCTAAATTTTACATTTTTGTCATAACAGTTTAATTCAATTTAAATTTTATAGTTCAATTTTTTTTTATTTTTATAAATAGAACAGTTCAGATAACTATTTTAAAGGAATAGTTCAGTTTCATAATTTAGTTCAGTACAATTCAATTTTTTCTTTTCCACCCTTATTGTTAAAACCTATCACAATCATCATCATTTGTCACCATTAGTCGTTGTTACTATCACCTAACACTACCACCCAAGATCTCAACAATCATCATTGTCACAATCACCGTTTTCACTGGTGATATAAACGTATGTGCTCCCATTGCCACAGTTACTACAACATGAATAAAATATGGACGAGATGATCCAGAGCGATAAAGCATATGCATATTGATGCTCTGCATCCACTCAGACCATCTAATTATCCACAAATCAACATCAAGCATATGAGAAATAGCATTGGTATCAAGAGAGACAAACAGGATAATTTTTCTGCATTTACAACACTTACAGATCAAAGAACAACATCCAAATTCCATAGTTATTCTATAGAAAGCAAAATCCGCAATGCAAGATGCAACTCTTAAGGGGTACATGACATAATAATCTTCCAAAATAATTGAAAAAAATAATCATACATGTTCAAATTGACCTATTCTATTTAAGGTGTTACCAGGGTGTCGAGCCCCAAACAGTGGTCAAAAGAATTTATTGAGGACCTGAGGTTGTAAAATGCCTGAAACATGCTCTGCATAATCATTTGCTCTCAATATCATATATATCTGTTCTGAATAAATCCATTAGGGAGAAACAAGATAAGAAAATATTAAAATAATTAATAGATGATGATCCTCTTAGGAGTTGGATTCTTGAATATCGACCAATATTGCAAAATTTATATTATAGTACCTTAAAATTAACATTAGCTTCCAATTAATGTAATCAATAAAATAAATTCAATAGTTGTACAATTTAGAAAGGAATTATAACTTAGGAATTTAGTAAGACATGTAAGTGGAGATTGGAGAACAAAAAGTCTTCCACTAAAATATATTGCTATTTATTAAATGACGATTGTAAGAAATAATATCTTTTAAACAACAAGCTTAACATAGAACAAGCATCTTTATGTATCCCTCAGGCTTGCATATGTCCTATTTACTGTCATAACTTCATAAAGGTAATTTTGTGGCTCTAATAACAAACATTCATAAACTTATCCTGAACTTCAATGTAAAAATGCCAAAATTATTTGCCTTCCATTGGGGTATGCCCTTACAATACAAATAGGCTAGTTGGCAGACCTAATAATCAAAATCTTCAGCACTCAAACGGATCTCATACTTTCCACTACTACCTCTAATCATGAGATTCAAATCAAAATGAAGATTAATTGATGTCAGAAGCAATTGTGCTCGCAATCAATTAAAATCAGTCATCATCAGTTGCATCTAATCAGCTCATGAAAATGAATTTGTGAAGAAAATCAAAGATTCACGTGGCCTGATCCTGTGCCTCCTTGCCAAAAGAATTGATCTTATATCAACCCTCGTTCAATAGGACAAATCCAGTTCAACATCAGAAAATTTCCTCTCACCCAAAAAGTCAAGTGTCTCAAAAAGTTGTGCAAAAGGCACCCCTACTTCTATTTTTTGGTAAACTAGGTATCCTTAGCCAAAAACAAAAGACTAATCTCTCAGAGATCCATTTAAAGAATTGACCTCCATAAATGTTTTTTCAATCACAACTGGAAGGCGAACCCTTGTTCAAATGCTTAAGAGACAAGGATATCTACCAAACATGCCACACCTTGTTAGTTTTGGTGTCAAGTGTTTGACACTATGACAAATAAAATGGAGTAGTCCTGTCATGTTATTCCCCCTTTCCCTGTCTTCTCACACAAACTGTTAAAGCCAGAAGTTAATTAGGCTCATAAGATACTACTACGAGTTTCTTTGGTCTTATGAAAGTGATCTATGACTCCTATAAGATGATTTTAGCTCATGTTGATAAGCTTCTCGATGAAGCTCAATCAAAAGAAGGTCTACAGATATACAAGCTTATTGAATAAACACTTAATCCAAACACAGCCTAATGAATCACGAAAAAGGCAGCCACAGTAAAATCCGAAAACGCATATGATCTAATAACCATTTTCAAATCTTGAAACGAATTTTGCAAAGCAAGGATACACGAGATAGAAGCCATGAGCAAAAGCCCCAGCCAAGACGGCAGCGAACAAACGATCTCTCAAGACGGGTTTATGGCGCAGCGATAGACGAACTGAAAAATAAAATGAATAAATTAGGGATTGGAAAGGTCGATAGGGAAAGGGAAAGGGAAGAAATGACATACTGAGAGGGAGTACAGGAGCATAGATGAGAGGAACAAGGAACTTAAAAGGGGGTCCGTTGTTCCTCCTTCTTACAACACCTTCTCTGCGCCAGTTAGTTCAACCAACACGTCAACATACAAATTACAATTAAGGATATGAAGCTCAAAATAAGAATGGGGAAGACGCTCACTGGTTTGAAGGATCGGAGGGCGTGGCCATGGCGAAATCAAATCGATGGGATTGGAATCTGCCTCCTCAGCTTCTTTGATCCGTCACCACCACCACCAATTCTTTCGTCTCCCTTCAAATCACCCATTGCTTTATCATATACTTTTTAATTTATACCTATCAATATAACTATAATTTATTTAAGTTTAAAACCCTCCCTTATAATATTTTCTTGTTTCAATTTAGGGGGTGTATTGGATTATGATTTTAAAGGACTTTTTTAGTTGAAAAAAGTCTAATAAATTTTAAAAGACTTTGCAAGATTTTCATGACTTTTAAGATTTTGTAGGATTTCACAAGACTTTCAATCAGGATTTTAATGGATTATACAAGACTTTTAAGTTAAGATTTTAATGGATTTTGCGAGACTTTGTGAACTTTGTAGAATTTCATAATAATGGAAATTCATCATAATGACATTCTTTACGAAGAAAGTTATGTAGTTCCACGCATGCTAAAAATTATTCTAAACAATATTTCAATTTTATTATAATTTGTGGTTTAAAATATTTTATTTATAATTTTATAAATAATTAAAAAAAATAGTTGGACAACTACCCTACTCTCTTATAACTAAATATGTCCCTTCATTTTATATCGGTACTAAAATAGATATTTACAAACATCATTTGGGAGAAAAAAAATATCTGAAATTTGTTACGGGTACAAAATATTTTTTTTTAATTTTTAATTACTTTCAATTATTCACTCGTGAAGAAATATTTTTAGTATTGAATTCTAAGATACTGCAATATCTTATGTTAATTTTCTTTTTTAAAATATAAGAATCTTAATTTCATAATATAAAAATTAAAAAAATAAAATTCATAGTAAAAAAAGAAATAAAATAATTGTTGAGTCATAAAAGGGGAATGATAACAATAACAAATTCAAGAGAGGGAGAGTTCATAGTTTTTATGTTGAGAGAGTTCTTCTCCCAACTAATATCCATTCCTATCTCATTCTATTTACAGAAACCCTAACTCAAATTCATCTTTTACATATATATATATATATATATATATATATATATATATATTTCCCTTTTCTTGAAGCGTATTATAAAAAAAATTACTACTTGAAAGTTAAAATTTCAAGTGTTTTCTGTGTTATATAACTGAGGAACAATCTCAATTAAATAGACCAAAATTGAGCAAGTCAATTAAAGAGAACGGAGAGAAAAATAAAGCAAGTTAATGACACTATCATTTACGTATAGAAATTTTACCAAATTGGAGAATGGAATGAGAACAGTAATACAGTGTTATATATAAGTAGTAGTGTAGTATTATTAACAAGAGAAAAAAAATGGAGAAAACATGAGCATAGAAAAAAAATAGATGAAAAACCCACTTGGAAATTCCTTGAAGCACTTGAAAAGTCACTTCAAACAATCCTCCAAAATCTTATGGGTTTGGATGAGATTGTTTTATGAATTTGGTATTTATAGATACCACTAAAAAGTCCATCAAAATCCCTCTAATACAACAATCCTTTAAAATCCCTATATTTTTGAATACCATTGGATTGTTTTTAAGTTGTAAAAAGTTTCAAATGAATACCAATGAATTTTAATGGACTCTTTAAAAAATCTTAAAAATCCTGATTGAATACCACTGAATTGTTTTTAAGTGACATAAAGTCTTTGATTGAATACCATCGGACTTTTTTACTCAAAAAAAGTCTTTTAAAATCCTATGAAATCCTAAACTAATACATCCCCCTTAGTCTCACTTTAATTTTTTTGTTTCAATTTGGTCCCTAATAATTTAAATTATTGTAATTTGGGACTTTCTTCCAAATAATTTAAACGAAATTAACTGTTGGCCACGTGGATGTCAGGTGGATGCCACGTAGATGCGTAAGTGGATGTCAAATTTCTTGAATACACCTGGAACCAGAACGGCCCATTCTGGCTTCAGAACGGCCCGTTCTGCTGCACTCATGGTGTGTTAAATTTGCATTTGGAACGGCCCGTTCCAGTTGCAAAATTAACACATAACATGTGCAAAAAGAACGGACCGTTCTGATTAGCATCCACCTATGCATCTACGTGGCATCCACCTGACATCCACGTGGCCAACAGTTAACTCCATTTAAATCATTTGAACGGAAGTCCCAAATTACAATAATTTAAATTATTAGGGACCAAATTAAAACAAAAAATTAAAGTAGGACTAAATTGAAAAAAAAATTATAAAAGACCAAATAAGAGTTTTAACCTTTATTTAATATAACATTTTATTTTTTATTTTTGTGTCATTTTACATTTATCAAAATTAATTTTACTAAACATTTCTAATTCAATTTAATTTGTCCTAATTTGACCATAATTTTAACTTTTGAATAATATTAAGGGAATTTTGATAGAGAGTAGTTTATAAAACAGACCCTGTATATGCAGTCAAAGAAAAAGGCACACCCTATATTTAAGTTTTTTAATTGAGGTGTTAACTCTTTTAATTAGAATCGTAAAAGTAGAAGGCTAGTCAAATGAGACTAAACAGAGAAAAGATGGTGAAATGGTCAAAATGTATGGTTGTTTATTTTGAAAGATGGAAGTGATCAATTATCCCTTTTCTTTCACAAGGGCTTCCTGGGAAATTCCACCATGAAGCATGGAGATAAATGTCTCATCCCTGAATTTCAAATTCAACGCTTAAAATGTATTAAGTATATTAAAAATTATATATTTAAAGTTATAAATGAATTTATTAAGTATATTAAAAATTATATATTTAAAGTTAAAATTTATAGTTGCTCATTTCCTTCTTCAGTTGCGTATTGAGGAGGATCTGGCAACCGCAACAGTCGAAGTCTAGCACCAAGTGGAAATGTAGGATGAAGTTGTGGAAATAAATCACTGCCGCAAAGAAGAGATTCTGACAACAAATCAGGTGGCGCCACCTTAGCCAAAAAAACGTTGCAAGGGAAATATAAATAAATAAAGACAACAGTTGTGTACTGGTCAAAAAATATTTCTATGTTTTGTCAAATTTAATTGTAAGATTTTAACTCTCTAATTTCTAATACCTTATAATTAAGGGAATTTTCATCATTTCAAACTTTATATTTTATAAAAAATAAATTCAAATGTTTTTATATTATTAATTTATTAAAATATTATTTATATCGTAAAATTTACGAGAGTTGCTACCTCATCGGTGAGGTACATAACTCAAAATTTCACGGTAGAACCTTTCACTTTATAGAGATTCACGAACCATTCTAACATGAAGCATTGAAAGAAATGTCTAATCCATGAGGCAGTAAAATGACATGCAATAGTAAGTTTTTCAACTTGTTTAAAATTGCAAAATAGTCCTTATATTATATGCGGAGGCACGGTGACAGCGGAAGTGTCGTCTCCTTCCACGGTGGTGGTAGCAAAGGCGTGACCTCCTTCGTGCGCCTTCGCGTGGTGACAGCTAGGGGTGGGTAGATGGACCCGGGTCCACGGACCGGTCCGTAAGCCCGCGGATTTCACGGATAACGGGCCCATTTTTTTCAAATCCGTATGATTATGTCTAATTTTTGAGCCCGGCCCATTAAGTCCGCGGACTTGGCAGATTTAATCCGCGGGCTCGCGGACTAGTCCGCGGACTTCATATTTAATATTTTTTAAATATTATGATTTTAATATTAAGTTGTGTATTTAATTTTTTAAAATTATTATGACATTAAAATTATGTTTAGTTGGTATATATTTGTCATTTGAATTATTTTTATGACATTTTGATGCTTTTATTATTGAAAGTTTGGTACTATTATTTAAGTATTTGTAATTATTTTTATTTTAATATTTTAATATTTAGTATTTTAAACCATTTTAACTATTGATAAATTTTAGTATGATAAAATTTAGCTTATAAATAAAAAATATTTTTTTCTTCTAATTTTATGTATTTTTATTTTTAAAAAATTTATTTTTTTGAACCATTATTTAGGCCCGCGGACCGGTCCGTTATCCGCGGATTTTGGCGGGCCGGATACGGACTTAAAAAATAAGTCCATTTATTTTACGGACCCGACTTATCCGGCCCATATAAAATGCGGGTTGTACGGACCGGGCCTTAAACGGGCCGGACCGGTCCGTATACCCACCCCTAGTGACAGCGTGGAGGCGCGGGCTCCTTCAAGCAATGGCAACAGAAGCGCGACTTCGTTTGCATGGTGGCAGTACGGAGGTGCGGGCTCCTTCGCGCGGTAGCAGTGAAAGCGCGACTTCATTCGCGCGGTGGCAACGGAGGAGCGGGCTCCTTCGCACGGTGGCAGCGCGGAGGCGTGGGCTCCTTCAAGCGGTGACAGCAAAAACGCGACTTCATTCGCGCGGTGGCAACGGAGGTGCGACCTCCTTCTTCACACGGTGGCAACGGAGGCGCGGGCTCCTCCTCCTCGGCGCCATCGGCCTCATGTCCCTCCTCTGCCGCTACCTCCCCCTCCCCGTCGTCTACAGCGTTCAACTCTCTCAGGGCCTCTCCTAAATCCTAAACCTCACCACCTCCAAATCCGGCCCTCCCCACCCTTGGCTCACCCTCGAGGCCTCGCCGTCGCACTTGCCACTATCATCTTCCTTGTCCTCATCACACGCTGGCGGCCAAAATAGTAACTCTAAACAGGGACTAATCTGCAAAATACAAAAAATTTCATAAACAAGTTATAGGTAACAAATCTGAACCGTTGATTATTTTATTGTTAAATCTAATGGTTAAAAATGGTGCTTCATTGATGTATCACTTTTCATATTACTTCATGTTAGAATTTCTGTAGATTCACACTAGTTTTTTTTTTTACCCCTACCATAATTTAAAAACAAATATATTAACTTGGTAGAACTTGAAAGAATAATGATATTTAGATACAAGAATATTGTAAACAATTTCACGACATCTTAATTTTTTTTTATCTCTTTTATTACATTACATGTTTATTATTATATTTATCGATTTTGTGACACTCTTTGTTTTACATATTATAATAAACATATAAATTTATATATTAAGAACAAGATTTTTAAAAAGATTTCTAAACAAAGCAAAAGTTCTCAAGAGGATATCATATTAACAAACTAAATTGAAACAATATGTCATACAAATATCCAATAAAATAACATAAATTAAATCTAATATCACACCCTAAACATAAATAAATAATAGAAGCTGAAATTCTAGCTACGTCCTAATGTTACATTTTATCGTAGCATAAAACCCAACACAAGGTTTAAACCTTGTCATGAAGACCCTCACCTACAACATAATTGGATAGTCACACACAATAACATAATTGGATAGTCACACACAAGGACAACACATTGTTTCCTCGCAAGAGTCGCATGTTCATAGTTCAAACATGACAATGTCCACAACATCATCTGATAACACCTTAAATCATTAACAATCAACTTACATGATAACTTATACACATTTGTTCTCTCCTATAAATTCTCTTCCCTAAACATTGATATAGGTACCTCAAATCATTTATAAGATTAAACACTTAAAGGGTAAAACAATTCACCATCACTACTTGTAAGTTGTATTTTCACAACTTAATCTTCTATGATCTCGGGTGGTCCAAACACAATATCAAAAGTTATATACATGTTATCAAGTTGATCTTAATTTTTTTAGAAATTTAAGACAATTATGTATAACTTCTATGTAAACATCAAGAGTTGATTCTGCCATTTACGATTTTTCAAAATTACAAAATTGTAGAATTTCAGTATAAATTTAATAGCTTGACCTCCTCTCACTAATTTGATCATAACTAGAGTTTTAGATCTCTTTTTTAGGTGATTCCAATGAAATTTGAAAACTAACATCTATCACTATAACTTTCATGAAGACCACAAAAGTAAACTCGATCTTCTACTTTCTTAAGCTAGTCAATTATTCACTTAAGCAAGAGTTAGCTCTCTCAAAGTGATCTAAAATTCACTTAAGCAAGATGCTACCTAAAACTCTTTGTCATGAACTCGCTTGAGTAAGCCTAAGGTTGTTTAAGTGAGCCTAAATTCGCTCTAAGCAAGTCTAAGGTCACTTGAGTGTTCTACAACAATCCAAAGCTCGATATTACAGTATTCATAGGTTTCCAGACCATTCCCTAACTTCTTTAATCCAAATCTAATTAGTAAGATATAAAAGCCTATTACTATACAATTAAGTCAATAATTTACTCACATACATAAGCATCCTAATTATTTCTTATTAACTCAATACATTCATTCTTTAGGATTCCTAAAGTAACTCCATGGACAACCCAAGATCCACAAGATTAGTAATTACATATAATTAAACATATGTATCAATCACCAACATCAATTAAAATACTAAGGAATCATATAAAGTACATAACTATGAATTATGATAAGAAATTGGGATTGATCCCTCATACAACACATACAACAAAAAAAGAAATAGGGAGCAATCTCATTATCCAACATATATCTCATGCTCAAAGTGAAACTATTTACTTCTCCCTTACCTAGATGGACACTAGATGATGGGTGTGGAACCCTAAAATGATCGCTAGACGCTTCAAGTTCTTCAGACACAAAAAAAGTGTTAGCGTAAAATATCAAAAGTGTGAACTAACTTTGCTTGACCCCCTTTTATTAAAAAAAAAACTACTTCTTCTCTTATTTCTTTTAAAACATAAAACATAATTAAAATAAAATCATATTGTAAAACATATATTTTCTAAGATACACTCATTAAAGAATTAATTAAAATACATATTTTATCCAAATTCTTACTATAACAAAACAATTTCACAAATTTTTTTTATTAATTAAAAACACTCATAATTATTTTAAAAGTCTCTAAATTATTTCAAAAAACCATTTTGATTAATTACAACATCCTATTGACTATTTTAGAAAACTTAGGGTGTGACACAACTCGACTTAATTTCTTTAAACAAGATATTGAAATTAAGTATTGTAGATAGAAAAACATGATTGGGAGGAAAAATCTCATTAAAAGTGGTTAGCCATTTTTTAATATAGATTACTTTTTGGCAAACTCAATAGTTACTTCATACCAATAATGTATATCATTAATATATATGACAAATAACCAGTAAATATTATTTGTGTTTTAATTAGCGTAATTAAATTTATTAAATGTTAATAAATATGTTTTATGATTAATACACAATTTTTTAATTTAACATATATAATGACATGATTGTACCTATAAAAGAGTAAGAAAAAAGTGGAGACTATCATAGGTTTAGTAGTATTAAGAATAAGATAAAATTAAGATTTTTCTTTTATGTTAAAAATAAATATGTTAGATAGAAAAATTAAGATTTAATTAAAAGGAGAAAAATGTACAAAAATGAAGAATTTGCGTACTTAAAGTCTTTGTATTTTTTTTTTATTCTTTTGAAATCTTTACATTTCATAGTTTCGCAATTTTTAGCGCCAATGAAAATTGTCAATGTTAAAAAATGGAAATAGATTGTTGACAATTTCACAATTAATAAAAAAAATATTACAATTTAGATGCACATGTTTTATAGTCATAACTATTTGAATTTATTGGTGTAAAAATGGGTCCAATCTAGTGGGTCAATCAGACTCATCATAGGTTCAGGTTAAGAAAAAAAGGTACATTGATTTTGATTAAATTTCAACCTATCGCTCACTTACCCTGTGAGCCAAACAAATTCGAACCTAAATAAGTTAGGTTGACTCATATAACCTATTACAATTAAAAAATAAAAATTATATGTATGTTTTATGTATTTATCATTTAAAATTTTGATTGGTATTTTTTATGTATTTGTATTTGAATCAATAATAGATTTGCTTTTCATGATAAAAAAAAAGTATAACTCTTTATTTTATTTATTAAAATAGGAACATGTAATGTTTTTTTTATTTTAAAAAATTGGTGAGTTAACCCACTTAATTCATAAGCCCGTAATAAGTCGAGTTGGATTAAATTTTTCTAATTCTCCAAAAAGTGAGTCAAGCTGGGTTGCCTTGTTCAAATTGCAACTCGTGTAAGTCAAATTGACTCACTTTGACACCTCTATTTAAATTTGAATGCCCATAATTAGAAGACCATTATATTGAGAATAATCAATAAAGATTATTGTGTGTTTAAATAAATTTATTAAATACTAATAAATATGTTTTATAATTTATAGAAAATATTTGAATTTAACATGTATAATGACATGAATATACTTATAAAAGAGCGAGAAAAAAAAAGTTGGAGACTGTCTTGAACTTAATAGTATTAAAGATATAATTTTAAGTAAATATTTATATATTTGAATTTATATTAATGAATTAATTTTAAATTAAAGTAACTTTAGATAATTTTTATATTGAACAATATCTTTTATATTACTAACTTACTTTTAGAATAAAATATTTAAACATATAGCACTTTACTTCAAAATATAATTCAAAACAAAGGTTCAAATTTAATTTATTAATATGATAACTGGTTCAATTTTTAATTGTTTGAATACATATTTATGAAAATGATGTTTAATTAATTGATTGAGTGGAATTTGCTACAAATTTGAATTAAAATATATACATTAGTGTTATTAATTCATAATTTAAATAAAAATATTTACTTATATTATTAGTTTGAATACCCAAATCTTAAAATCGTATTTGTCATAATTATTTAATTATTATAATTATAAATATATATTATGAATTAAAAAATGAATAAATATTTTTATTTTGACATAAAATACATTCATTACATGATCAAATCTTTTGTGTGTATATATATATACGCATTATTTTTTATCTTTTTACCATTTTTCAAAAATTACTTTTACGACTACAATTATCTAAAAAGACTATAATTATTAACCGCTTAATTTAATTTTATTTATAATTTAAAAAAATATTCGGAGGTAGCGAGTGTATTTTTTACATTAGTATAAATAAAGTGAAAAAAAGTAAGGAACAAAGATAACATATGTAGTATCACATATTACGTGAAAACATTTTATGTTGAAATGATGAATCTGCTAAGTTTATTATCATGAGTATTTTGGATTATTCTATTCCAATAGAATGCGGATCATAATTATTAATATGCTTGATTATGCAAGACTATAGCTAGACCATCGAAGAGGAATTTTCGATGGAGTATATATTTCTTATACGGGGGTGCTCATCTGAGGAAGGTTGTAGACATTCTACTACCTATATACAAAGGAAATTTTCAATATTGCATAATTAGATAAAAAAAAATAATTAAAATAATATAAGATACCGCCTATAAAAGGTATTGATAATTATAAAATTATTTTACGACAACATTTTCTTAAAAACATATACAACATAGTAAAGATAAATATTTCACAATACTACTATAGTTTCATAATATGGGTGATAAAAATAAAATAAAAGAGTTTGAAAAGGCGAAGAAGCGCGTCAATCTTAAGCTTCACCGGCGAGTTGGTTCTTCGTCCACAACAGTTGAATAATGCAATGGTGTGTGGCGTGAGATTGAAGCCAATGTTTAATTAATATTGTGCGTGATTTTCAAGTCCAATAGCAAACTTTATAAGGACCAACCAACTCCCTAGTCATTCTCATCCTTCACATTCTCCTTTAACATTAATCATGGTACGTAAGCCTCTCTCTTCATGGAGTTTGCTTTGCATGCTTCAATATTTACTATGCACCTTCTATGTCTAATCTTCATGCTTTTGTTTAGGCTCTGCCACAACAAGAGACCGTGGAATATCCCAGTTTCAAGCTGGTCATCGTAGGCGATGGAGGAACTGGTTAGTTATCATGCATCCCCTCTCAACTCTCACACACACTTCATTTTTTCCATATAACTTATTACTGGCTTCATGGGTTGGTGGCACAGGGAAAACCACTTTTGTGAAGAGACACATAACTGGGGAGTTTGAGAAGAAATATGAACGTAACAACTCCTTACACCTAATCTTTTACTATCTTAATTACTTTTAAGCATCCCTTCCATTCATTTACGTTTATTTATGTAATTCTGCAATAGCAACCATTGGTGTCGAGGTTCATCCACTAGACTTCCATACCAATTGTGGAAGAATTCGCTTTTACTGCTGGGACACTGCTGGCCAAGAAAAATTTGGTGGTCTTAGAGATGGTTACTAGTAAGTCTAAATAAAGTTGATACAATCTATGCCATCTTAATCTCTATTTTTTATATATTTCCAAGCCTCTACCAATTTCAATTTATTATTAATTGTATAAAAATTATGTTTCTCGCAGTTGTTCAAACATGTTCGTGTATCTATTATAACGTTATGATCTATTTTTAATTACCTAGTAATTTTAATCTTGTTGATGGTTCCTGTAGTTCTGTTCAGTGAAGTTTTTCGTGCTTTATATATACAGTTTTGTTATGCATAATTTCGTTGTTTTCATGATCGTTATTGACAATGTTACATCATACACGGAAATTATGAAGATGAAGTATTTAATGTTAGTCATGTAAAAAAAGAATGGAAGGAAAACGGACTAGCACAAATTTGTATTACTGGTTTATGTCAACTCTCATGGAATAGCCACTTGTTTTTGTATTTGTCTTCCGTGATTTGAGTACATACCCTGGCCCCTATATATATGTATATTTTTTTTCCTTTCTGATATTAGGAGATTCTGAATTGTGTTCTTTCAGTTTGCATATCTTGTTTTCTGGCATGTAACCTTCAGCATGTTCTAAGCGACCCTGTCCAATAGCTGCTTATTTATTTGACTCCATGGCTAACAGAAAATTCCCACATTTGAATTATGTGCAGTATTCATGGACAATGTGCTATCATTATGTTTGATGTAACGGCTCGCTTGACATACAAGAATGTTCCTACATGGCACAGAGATCTCTGTCGGTGAGTTGAGCCTTTTTCTTTCTAAATATTTTTAGCATTTTCTTGCAATGTATTTCTATGCTGAGTACGTGACTCATACTTGTTAATCATAGGGTGTGTGAGAACATTCCCATTGTTCTGTGCGGAAATAAGGTTGATGTGAAGAATAGACAAGTTAAAGCAAAGCAGGTTACATTTCACAGGAAGAAGAATCTGCAGTACTACGAGATATCTGCAAAGAGTAACTACAATTTCGAAAAACCCTTTTTATACCTTGCCAAGAAACTTGCAGGGTACGTAACGAAATGCTTTATTCTTGCTTATTTTTTGTTAATATTCCAATGTCACGAGTGGTAGCAAATTATTGGTCTTGTGATTCCAGGGATCCTGGCCTTCATTTTGTGGAGATGCCTGCACTTGCTCCTCCCGACGTAGTTATTGATCTAGCAACACAACAAATGTAAGGAGTTAGAGTCTATGCGTATATAAGTTTACAAAAAACTTTTTGTTTTTCTATTAAAAAAACTCTTTATTTTAACTAAAAAAATTGTTGAAATTTTTCTAAGCTTCTATCCAAAGTACTTGTATTTTGTTATTTATGTGCTTTTAGCCACATTAAGATGTTCTACCTCACTCTTGTTATTTTTTCTTTAGTTGATTCTATCTTATGTGTTTGTTTTACAGGAATGAACAAGAGCTACTTGTGGCGGCTGCTCAGCCTCTCCCCGATGACGATGATGATACATTTGAATAAACTTCTGAGCTTTCCAGAATTTTCCTGATAAATTTGAATGTTTTCTCCTCTGCTTTTGTTGTTGCATTGTAATATTGGGGGAAGTTTCATCAAATAGAAATACGAGTCAGAGTTGGGATCTGTTTACACAGGCATAAACAGTATGTCCTAGTTGTGTTCCTGCTGTTATTCTTAAAATAATCAATTGACTTCTTGTGTCATTATACTATTGAGTGATATCGCACCGAACAGATTCTCCTTGCTAATTTTTAGAACATGGCCCGCGATGAAAATGAACTGGACCTCATCAATCATATTAACAAAACATTTTCTGTCATGCTCTTTATACACTCTAATCAAAATTTATTAAAAACTATAAAATTAGGAAAGATTATTAAATATGAAGTGAGATCATTAAAAAAAATGTTTCTCAATAAATTTCATCTAATAAAAAAGAGTGTATTAGAGAAATTCTTCTAACATCACAGAATGTCTTATTCTCGTCCACAAATTACCACGCAATGGTTTTATCTCTGTTAACACTTTAATCACCAGTTTTCTTGGGGCAAAGCTACATATTGTAGCCGTAGGAATACTATATATCCCTACCGACAAATTTGAAGTTCTATATATTCAAGTTCATAATAACAACGACGTAGGATTTAATGATTTACAGGTGCCGATCTTTTTGTGTAAGCGTATTAATGTAGTAATAGTGGTTCATGGAATCATGGTTATAGACCTATAAATAAAATTACAATTAACTTTATAGAAACTTTATGGCGTATTTGATTTGAGGACAATGCAGTAAAAAAGGAAAGAAAATTTTGAAATTCTCTGCTGTTCAAATGGGTAAGAGACGATGATGATTCCTCCTCAGGCCTCTTGCAAACGGTTCTGATGTTAAGGACATATGTAGCTTATCGTTTTAAAATGTTTCAGGGACATTTCCTATGAGTTGATGTTTAAATATTGTAGTTGTGAGCTCAGACCAGACTACTTAATAAATATTACTATGTTGGTCACACGTAAAAAAATAAAAATTAAGAAAAAAAAATCTCTGTAGTCGTAGCCTAACAGCGCAGTGAACAGTTTCTTGTGTCTCACATGAAAGCAACAGGCATCTAACCGTAGTAGCATGTAATTTAAAACATTCCACTTGTAGGATCTTTCACTAGGATTGGTTGTTGAAGGGGAAAAAAAGCTCTTTTTATCTTTTTTTAACTGTTAGCTTTTGATCTGCTGGATCAACTTCTTTTTTTTTGATAGGCAACACATTCACATTGTATTCTGTGTTGAAAAAGTGTTTGAATGTTGTAACTTGTAAAGTCTTCTTAGAAGGCAATAATAATTAGTTAGGTTATGGTAGCTATGAATTGGTGGTGACTGGTGAGTGATCCTTACATTACATGCGGTCCTGAGTTACAACACTTGATTTTAGGTGTTGGCCAGTTGGCCTGGTCCATGTACATTGGGATGAAAAGCTACAAGTCTGAGAATACATTGAACCTTGAATAGTAGCATAAAGGGTTCCAACTTTGGGGTCTTGATTAGGCTAGAAGAACAATTTCCCTAATTAGTTAACTAGCTATGGGCCTTTTAGATGGTTAAGATGTTTGGTGAAAAGCAGGGCTGAAGTGGCAAATCCCACTCATCAGTGTACCATATGCTATAGCTTTTACGTACTCAATAAATGGATCTGTGCCTCATGATAGTCACGTGAATCTGAATAGTGCAACACCAATTGCCACATGACTGATGGCTTGGCACCACACAACACAGGTCACTGTAGTAGTTTGATGAACACACACTCACTTGCCAATTGCCATGTCTCCATAACTGGTACATGGTAGGCGTGCCTTAATGGGCCAAGGCTCCCTCCCGTCCGAAGCTGAGCCTGTTGAGCTCCATTTGCCACAGGACTTGTCCCTTTCGGTGTCGGTTCTAAGTTCCTAACCCACACCTACATTACTACTGTTACTATATGTGCCCACCAAGGCCAAAAGTGGGCCATGTCTATGAGATATTGTGAGTGAGTGCGGTCATAATATATAATTTTGACCATTGGACACTATAGCAGCACAGTGTCCAATTTTTCAGGAGCTTGTTAGTGGTTACCTTACCTCTAACAAACAAGTTATTAACTAGGTCCCATATGTAAAATTCATCTTTAAAAGGTGGCTTTCAATGTCGGTTGAGTGGTCTGCTCGGTGTTGCGTTGGGCCTATCTATCACACCCACCAGGCCCCTTACTATTGCTCATTCCCTTTGGTTTGGAACTTGATCATCTTCTCTTTCTGTTCCTCAACTTTGCTATGTGGCCCATCCTGTCTTGCACCCTTTTAGTGAACTTCCTTTTCTTTTTTCCTCTTTCCTCACCTGTTAATGCTGTCCATGTTCTCTCTGTCTCCCTATTTTCTTCTCTATCCTACCCATTAAATACCATCCTCCAACGGTTACAGCTAGCTACCTTTCAATATATATATATATATTTGCTTTCGTCTTTTTCCAGTCTTAGTCTAATCCTCAAATCAATATATAAGAATTGATTAGAACTTAGAAGTCATCAATATAGATATGGATATGTTGAAAACAATTAATGTAACCAAGCCCCAGAAAATGAGCGAGGTGCATGCGGGGTTCATGTATCATGTATGTACTCTTTTGATAATTCCATGCATGTATTCGTCTATCTTATCATTCAACGTATCTAATCAAATATCAGTTAGTCTACATACTGCAAACTAAACTGGAATCCATAGCACTAGTAGGTGAGAGTAGGGGATTTATTTTAGGAAATAGGAACATGGTCTAATTCTGAATTCTGATCTGTGCACCTAAATTGAAATCCAAGCGACATGGAACCTTCATGGTGGCCAGCTTAGAAAAATTAAAGAATATGTTCTTTGAATTGATTTTGGATAGACATAAGATCCTCGTTTAGTTGTCATAAATTTTGCTGTTAATGATATACAACAGCAACAGTCCCACGTTTACCCTAACCCCCAACATGGGAGGAAAGTTATAAGTGGTAAAAGAGCAATAGAATAGTAATGAAAGAATGTGACTTATCATCACATGGGCTATGAAGTGAGGTTACATGATATTTACAAGAAATATATATATGGGGAGCCCCTCATGGTAGGGTAGGGAGGATGGTAAAGGGAGAAATAAGAGTGATGATTATAGGTTGTTTTCATGTAAATTTGTAACAGGACATGTTCTGCAAAGGAAGCATGTGCTTACACATAAACGGTAGGGGCATCAATAGGAGGATAGCTAGCAACTGTCATTGTCTATGCCATATGCACCTAGTGGTGATGGAAATTGGAGACTAGGGGAAACCTGAATTTATTTGGCAATAAGGACCGCTAGTTTCACCCAATTCACCCTCAGCCTTGTTGTGATGATTTGGATTTTCTTGCTTTAGTACTTTTCAGTCTCATATCACTTGAAAACTGATTTCCCTCTCCCTACTCTTCTCATCTCATCTCATCTATAGCCTCACCTTTCTTAATTTGTCATCTCAAATACAGTTATTATTAGTGTGCACTGCTCTGCTTTATGTTCTACATTAACAAATAACAGTACACACATGATCAAGTACACTCTAATTTGTACATTTCTACTAATTTAGAAGTAAATGGGAAATCATGTGTTTTTTGTATGTCCTTATCCATGCACAAACTGTCATTTAAGGGAAGAAGAAAATCGAAGGACCTATGTAGGTTTCATGCTGCTTTATTTAATATAGTATGCCAGGTAAGAACCGAAAAAGATAGACTCGTGTAATATAGTACGCCAGATTAGAATGGAAAAGGTTGAAGATTCCACTGTCAAAAATTGCAGGTTGAAAGTTAGTTGTTAAAAGCTGGAATGCAATTGAAAAGGTTAACCTCCCAAAAATGCAATTGAACAGTATTTACAGTGAAACTCCCTTCTTATTTTATTAAGATAGTGGGGAAAATCCATAACAGCCAAACTAGGGTCAAATTTACACCTCAAAAAGTAAATTTTAAAAAAACAGAAAAAATAAATTGTCCCCAAAATCTTAATCTCCCTCTCATCTTCCCACACAGAGATACATAATTATAGGGAGGGCTGGGCAGCGTGTAGGATTTTAGGATGTAAAAAAAAGGTGGTTAAATTAACGGGGCAAGATATTTATATTATTATAGAGTTTTTAATTAAGCCTTTATAATTAAATATACTTTAAAAGTTTGTAAATATTTTTTTTTGCAGTTGTTATAAGTATTTTATTTATATTTGACTTTCTTTTAATTATTAGGATCGACTTAATAGTAAGAGTTGAAGTAATATGTATATGATTTTATATTTAAATTAATCTTGTTGTTCTCATTGTAATTTTAATAGGTAAATTTTTTATTTGAGTGAGAAGTAAAAACACAAACTAACAAGACCTAGGAAAAGGAATGTTTATTTGCACTAAAACTAATATTTTAACATGTGTAATGTACAAACAAAATATTTATTATATATAATTAAAAATTATAATAAATTATATATGCCAATAAATATTATGTTTGTGTATATATATATATATCATATTTAAAATTTGTATAAATAGATATTTTAAAAAATTAAATTATATTTTAAATTTATAATAAATAATTTATATTATAGCATAATGTTATTTTTATTTATTGATAATTTATTTTAAAATATTAAAATTGAATTCATAAATAAATGTGATAAATAAAAATTAAATTAAGTAAAAAGTTTAAAATAAAAAACTCTAAAAATTTTCTCATTGAAAAGAAATCTTAAAAACATTTTCGTGTAAGATAGATATTCATATTTAATATATAAAAATTTGATTATATTATTTTTATGCATGAAAAAATAAATGTATACATGTCCAAGAAAAAAAATGGAGTTGTTTTGGTAGAATGAGATGATAAAGCTTCATTTAAGTGTGATGTATATAAATGGGTAAGCCCCAATATTAATCATTAAGAAGTTGATATATAATAGTCTTTGTAAAAAAAAAAAAAAAAAAAAAAAAGAAGAAGAAATAATACTTAATATAAAGTTTAAATTTTTATAGTCTTTTTTCTCAAAGTTTAAAAAGGCTTATTTATTTTGACAAAATTTAAATGTGGTTGATGTTGTTCTTTAATCATAATTGAAGATTTATCTTACTAATATGCATTTTTATTCAATGCAAATCTTATTAATATACATTTATGCATATTACTAAAATAAATG